GCCGAATAATGCCCTGAGGGGGCCTAAGGGGACCCTGAGAGGGCCGAGAGAAGCTCTGGATGGGCTGAGAAAGGCCCTGACGGGCCCGTTGGTAAAGAGCCGGGAATGAGCGTTCATTGATCGGCGGTGGAGCTTGTCTACTGGGACGAGGGTGAGGTGCGCAAGGGCAGCCTCTGTAGTTTTCCGGGTGGCCTGTTTGTTTACACAGGACACATGCGGGTGGGGATTCGGCGTCTTTGGGCCGAGGACACTCTTTGGTGTTGTGGGCTTCAAGGCACTTAACGCACCTGGGTGGGCCGGAGCAGTTGGCCGCCGCATGACCATATAGCTGGCAGCGGTGGCACTGCGCCGGGAACCCGCGCCTATGTGGGGGCTCAACCCTCACTCTCGACAGACCACACACTGTGCGTACCTGCCGGAAGATGGCTTTTGCCTCCGGCACGTTTGTTAAAATGACTAGGGCAAGATTGAACCTTTTGCCCGTTCTGCTGTGCATTTTGTGCACGGCTTCTACGGGGAAACCTTGGGACTTAAGGTCCTCAAGGATTTCCTCGTTGGAGAATTCGAAGGGGACGCCTCGGATGACGGCCCTGACTTTACGCTCTTCCGGAAGAGCATACGTATGATACGAAACTCGTTCGGCTGTGAATAGCCTGGTGAGTTTACGGAAGCCATCGATCGAGTTGGGGATGATTTTAATAGTCTCCCCGAGGTTGATGGCGTGGTCATATTTAATGACTGCGTCGTAGCAGGTTTTCGATAGTTTGGTGAATTTTGCCTTGTCTCTTAGGAAGACAGGGGGCGGGACTTGCTTCTTGGCGAGAACTGGAGCACAGCGAGAGGCTGGCTTGGTCGGAGCGGGGATGTCTAGTGACATAAGTGCTGCGGGGGCAGAGGCGGCAGCGGGAGCTGCGGAGGTTGTAGGAGCGGCAGGGGCCGCTGAGACAGGGAGGGTGCGTTTTTTCGAGGCGCGTTTACCGCTGCGCCTGGAGTTCACCGTGGTGAATGAGGAGTCCCCGGTTCCGTCGGAGTCACAGGACTCCGATGAACCGGTGCCAGAATTGGTGGCGAGCCTCTTCCGGGAGGCCGACGCAGAGGACTCGGAGCGTTCATACTCCATTTCTAAGGGGGCAAAAGAGTTCTGTGTCTCTAGGTAAGTCGCGATTACGGGCGGCGGTTGGAGTGCCTGAGGGGCAGGGAGAGTAACATGGGTGGCGATGGCGGCGAGGACCGTCTCATCGAGGTTTAGGCCCAGACCAAGAGTTTGGTTTAGGGCGGCGACGAGGGACTTGATTTGGTTAATTGTGGACATTTTGGGGCAGTAGTTCTACGTACAGTAAGGATTGGGACGGGTCCCTGTTCTCAGTAGAACAGGGACTTGAACACGAGCCGTACTACGATAAAATATACACGTATAACAATAAAGAATAACAGAGAAATAACAAAATCAACAATAAAACAATAACAATAAAGTAACAGTAACAAGCGGAGGTCAGTCAAACCTCCCCGCCTGAAGACAGGGGGGCAAGAACTGTTAGCGGTAAAAGACTCACCACTGCGTCGACGCTGTACAGCGCGAGCAGGACAGCGGAGGCGCGAGAGCGAGATAGCACTACCGTACAGGGACGAAAGCGCGGACTACCTGGACACGACCGCTCGAGAGCGATGCCACAGGCGGAATGGACTTCGGGGAGTTGCCTGTGGGCTATTATAGCTAATTAGCTATGGTAAGTAAATACCTATATAAAATACATAGTACCTACATTAATATTTGCGTAATCTCCAATAAAATACAAAAACATTTAAAAAATACAATTATTTTACACTTTTTTTATGTTTGTTTTAGAAGTCGGTTATATTCTTTTTTCAAAAAAAGTTTTTAATGCATCTTTAGTTGAGATGTATGTCCCTTTAGTGGGTACAGGCGTGATATTATACTGTGTGATTGCGTAAAGAATGCATAGATACGCGATAGCAGCAATCGCGGTTGATTTGCTGTCATTTATTGAAATTTTCTCTTTTTAAAATACGTTACCCCTACAGTAGGATTTTCTCCTGTATCGTGGAGGCAGTTTACAAACATAAATTGCACAAGGACAAACATACAGACCCGGAACAACAATTATTTGTAGGCCATACAAATACTTGTTCCGTGCGGGATTCGTACCCGCGGTCCCCAGCGCATGCACTCATTGCTAAGCCACTGCGCCACGGAGCTCTCTCACTTACCGTTTGAATTTATGTTGTCATTTAAAGAATCGCATAGGTACGCGATGACGCCGTCACACATTGCATCACTCAGGAGTGCGTATGTGTGTGTGCACTAGCTTATTACTGCTCATCACAGCGTCTATCCCTTTCGCACGTGATGTCGCCTGAGATAGCATGCATTTTAACCCAGCCCACCATTTAGTTCATGCCATCGACTAGGGCAACCTTAACTTTTGTTTGCATCCTAATATTTATATATATTAACGTTGAGGATTTGGCGCTGACAGCTGATGCACAGGTCTCCTAGTTCGACTGCAGATGCTGTTTTCAAGTACATGTACCAATGTAGCTTTATTAAATGTTAAGAAAATATCTTTATATAAATGTTAAGCAAATATCAACCTCTTGGAAAAAAGAACTTATTATTATAACTAACACAAACACCATCCATAACTTAGAATTTTCTTATACGCCAACATGCTCCATTAAGAAATTTTCTTTTATACACGAACTCCCGCCATGACTTATATTTATAATATTTTTTATACTTTATTATTATAATATTTTCAACTTGTATTTCTATTATTTATCACATTTTGGATATTTTATGAAAGTTTTTAATAAATTTATTGATTTTGAAAGGCAAAATTAAGCTTTTAATTTACTATAATACGTAATGTCTGATTTATTTTAACTTTATGTTTATTAATGTATTTTTATTGTTAAATATATTTTGTCTAAGATCATTTTTGACGGCTTTACATAGAAATTAATTATTTATTATTAATATTTATAATGGGCCGTCACAATAATATTAGATAAAATATTTTATTTAACCCGGCGTGAATGAGGTGAGAAATTGTTACACCAGCTATGAGGCGGGTAGGAGATTTTGATGTTCAATTGTTTATACTATAATTATGTAATTAGCATTTATGCTTAAGATATATTAATAATAGTACTCATTCAGCAAGATTAGTAAATAAAATACAAGCATTAAGTACAAAAAGCGTTATTTTTTATTGAAATTACAAAGTATCTAAATTTTCTTTAAAAAAATACAAGTTAAGGTAGTTAACTTCTTTTCGCATAAAAATCTAAAATAAATCCCACTTCTTTAGTCAATCAACATAACAATAGAGTCTTCTAGTTATTATAAATAAAAAAGCCACTGAAAAGTCTTGTGAGATCATGTAACAGAGCACCGAAGTTACACCTACAAATCAGCAGAATTTCCGCACATAAAAATCGCGTGTTCCATACATATTGGCTTCTCACATTTTGTACAGCAATGTTTTGTTTTTCTGTCTTTTTTCTGATTACACTCACCACATCTCACATATTTACCAGCCATTTGTTTTGGAAATGGTGGTGAGGGTTCCCCTAAATGATCGGCAATCCTTTTTCGTGTTTCCCTTGGAAGATGTACGTTCTGTTGCCTGTTCCAAAGACTATCATTTATTAGATTCAAACCTAAATTACGAATGTAGTCTCGGCGCTTCATGCGTGTTTTGTCAGTCGTGTTATTTTCTCTGTAGATTACGATACCATTTATGGCAGCCATATTGAGTATACCATAAAAAATCGTCATGGGCCAACGTTTGCTATTGCGTGAAACATCATAAGTGGCATTCAGTTCATCTGCGACATCGACTCCGGCTTTAGTTTTATTATAATAAGTAATCATTTCCGGTTTTCTTTTTATCCCCTGTCGATTCGTCTATATTTTTGTCATGGTGTAAAGTTGACATAACCAGCACAACGTTTTGGAACGAGATATCACATCGAGAGCTATTGACTTCTGTTCCCTTTTTGAAGATCTCAGGTACACTTGTCTTGTTTTTACGGACTGTGCCGACAGAAGTTAATGAATGGTCTTTCAAGAGATGAATCATAAGTGGATAACTAGTAAACCAGTTATCGAATATCAAGTTCCTGTTCGTTTTTGTTATTGGCTCCACTAAACGGCTCTCAATGTCAAACGCTTTGTTACTCAGTTGGTAAGGTCCTGGTGGTTGTTTTCCTGCGTATATTTCCAGTTTGAGAATGTAAAACTTCTCCGCATCTACAAGAGCTTGAATTTTTATCCCATATTTGGCTGGTTTGTTGGGAATGTATACGCGGAAAGGACATCGCCCTCGGAAAGATAACAACATCTCATCAATAGTAAGATTCTCGGAAGGCACATAATGTTTTGGAATATTTACAACAAAATTTTCAAAAATGTCCCTTATTGCAGCTAGATTGTCACTCTTTTTTCTTTGGTCCCGAGTGTTTTTATCATCAAATCTCAAACAATTTTGAAGGAAGTAAAACCTCTGCAGTGACATTGTAGTCCGAAAGATTTTAACTCCTGTACCATCTGTACGCCACAAATCGTTCAGGTTTTGTCTATTTGAGCGATTTAGGCCAGCTATATACAAAAGTACTATAAATGCCTTCAAATCCTCCAAAGTTACATCTTTCATGTGATACTGCTCATTATTTTTTGGATGTTTTTCCCTTTTATCCTTTATTTGAATATTTGTGCATGTTAGTACGGTATTCAACATACTGTCTGTTATAAAGAGACTCCAAGTTTCAATCTCAGTTTTAGCAAGTTTTGCAGTACCTTTTACGCCTTTAGCATTAGTAATTATATTCTCAGATCGAACTCGAACGCTTTGTCTAGGACAATCTTTTGACCATTTTGTGCCATCTTTGGATGTATAAGAAGTTCCACGTACCTCAGCCGACTGACTATTAGACGCCGGCACAGATTCCGGCTCTTCCAAATTATCCAAAATACCCTATTGTTCGGAATCACTTTCTTCACTTCTCTGAGAAACGTTATCAATTTCTTCTTCGCTTTCGGAGTCACAGGAGCTAGCACTTGAGCAGTTTTCTAATAGTTCTTGTAGCCGACGTTCATTTGCTTCATAAGACATCTTGAAAAATCTAAAAATAAATCATAAAATACTATAAATAACTATAATACAAAAACTTACTGTCAACACAAAAATGTAACACCGACAACGAGGTCGGGTGTGACGTACCCGAGCCACGTGTACATATGTGTATCTACCGTCGCCGCCGGCGCAACACTAAACTCGATACTGTACCCCGCCCCTCGCGTCCTTACCTCCAGCTACTGAAACGACAGGACTCGCATGGCAACAGTAACATTAAATAATCTGCGTTTAAAAACTTCTCGGGTATCACATACCCGACCTCACTCACGCCGGGTTAATAAAACATGTGTGAGATATTAGTGTTATTAGTATCAACATGTCTTACCGATATCCAGTGTGTAAAATTTAAAGTGGGTTGTTAGTTTTCATTTAACATTAGCAAAGTCTATCAATATACGAAGTCAGTGAAAGTAACCGTGATTAACCGTTGACTAAATGTTACCCTGCTTCGGGGTCGGGCCGGGTTAAGAAATGGTCTCGTTGCACTTTCATAGCCATTATGTTATTCGTGTTATCGGATTTGAACCTAAGGATTATGCATTGTTGGTTGAAATTGCTGTACAATCTCGTAAGGAGTGCCGTTGTGCTTGCGTGTTCAATTTTAAACCTAATTTGCAACAGCTGAGGGTTGATTTTTTAAAAGTAAATAACTAACTAATCTCGTGGGGATTGCGCATGTCACATTTCAGTGTCAGCCAAGGTCTCAAATTAATTTCAAAGCAAGTATATTGTACAAAGCCCGCCACGTGTCACGTCCGTCATTTGTTTTGGTTCCTTTTGAACCATGCTAATACAGTCCACTTGATCGTTCGCCCGCCATACCTTGGATCACTTTTTACCCAGACTTCTTTTTGCACACCTTAACCGCACAGATCGGCATTTCTCAAAGAGCACGTACAACGATGGAAACGATTCTTGTAATGACAAAATCGATTCCGTAAACAGTTTTTATAAGCGCACAAGATTTTTAAATCCAATACCTGCGCAAAGGTGAATAATCACGCGAGGCGAGTCCATTGGGTTGAATGGTCTAAGCCTCAGAGTAATTACTGACATAGTGAAAGTCCTAAAATAAGAACAAAATTCTTACAGCTGAACTCTATACACATGACATGACGTTTAACATGGTATAAAATAGGGTCAGGCAGGGTAATTGTAAACAGTATAGAAAAAAACCTTACGAGCTCTTTCTAATTTCCATAAAAACAAAGCAAATATATTTGTGATTATGAAAATGTACCTTAAAGTAGTTGAATATATTGCAAATGATATACAATAGTAATAATAGATCCATACATATGAAATTGGCGTTTTGTACAGGAGGAATATAAAGTCAATTTTTTTTGTAAAATATATTTAATTAATCAAAGTATGCACCGTTGTTATCTATGCACTTTTGCAATCTCTTAGGTAGTTCATTGACTAAAAAATTCACTAAAAAAACCATGGGGGCGAGAATCAATAAACTCTTTGAAGGCGGTTTGGACTGCCGCATCGGAGTTGAATTTTTTTCCTTGTAAGAAGTTGTCCAAATTCCGTATAAAATGGTAATCTGTTGAAGCAAGGTCCGGGGAGTACGGTGGATGTCGCAGACATTCCCATTGTAGCTCATCTAACTTAGTGGTTGTTTGTTGTGCAGTGTGTGGTATGTGTTGTCGTGAAGCAGCAGTGGCCTAGAGCGATTGACCAATCTCGGTTGTTTAGCAGCTAGTTCTTCCTTCGTGGTTTGCAGTTACTGATAATAGATATCTGCCGTAATCGTTTGGCCAGATTTTAGAAAGCTGTAGTGAACGACACCGGCGCTAGTCCACCAAACACTCACAAGTAACTTTTTTGAGCCATTTTCGTTTAGGGCAGGATTTGGCTGGGTCTCCAGGGTTCAGCCATTGCGACGAGCGCTTCCGATTATCGTACAGTATCCACTTTTCATCACAAGTAATGATTCTATTTAAAATCCCTTCATTTTTGTGTTGGTTGAGCAAAGTAACACAGCAGTTGACGCGTGTTTGCAAGTTCGATCTACTAAATTCATGAGGTACCCGTCGTTCAAGTTTTTTTTTACTTTCCAGATTTGCTTCAAGTGGATAAGTACAGTTTTATCACTTACCCCGAAGCATGTAGCTATCTCTGAAGTGATTTGTGAGGGATACACTTCCACAATAGGCTTAAATTCTTCATTTTCTACTTTGGTCTCCGGCCGTTCTGAAGGTCGAAATTTCCAAAACGAAAACGTTAAAATCAAAAAAGTACCTCGCTTTCTTTTGCGACACCAGCACCGTATACATCATTAACCCTCCGAGCTGTTTCTGCGGCACTGGTGTCACGGTAGAACTCGTACTCGTAAATATACTACCGATATTTCATGTTTTCCATTGTGCGGTAATAAGCGACGCCAAAGAAAAAAAAATTAGGAAAAAACAATTGAATGACTGTTTTCAAAACTCAAATGTACCAGCTGTATGAATTTATAAATTTGAATTTGGAATTCTTGACCATAGAGGAAATATTTCAGATCAAAGTGGTCAGTACGACAAAACGCTAATTTCATATGTAAGGACCCAATAGTTACATATTATATAATATACATTTTTGAAATTGGCTGTTTACAATTGCCCATTTGATTTTCAATCTTTTGTTAAAAAGTGGGATAAACGTAAACCATGAAAATTATGTTCATACATAATTTTCATGGTTTCATGTGACATAGCAATAATGCCTTTGGCTGCTAGCATGGTATTTCATCAACTGCTTGATTTTCATTTCATCCATGAACAAGATACAATTTTCTTATCAGGGTTACTCTCCGCTCTCAATTTTAATGCTGTCAGCGTTCCTTGAGTAAACCCTGGTCAGCCATTAATGATACTGTTCCACTTAATGTCCGTGGTCAGGCAAACAGGTCCCAAAAGTTTTACGTACATAGCTATAGGATTTTCGTTAATAATTAAGTGCTTGGACGAAACATCTTAACTCTGTGAAATATTTAGTTCTGGACAGTTTTCCTGACTTACTTTTAATTAATTATCTCTTTAAACATGAATTTGACTTTCAAAATAATCACACTTATTACACGTATCTTTCTTAAGAGGCTTTGTGCTCAGGTAAAGTTTTCTAAAAAGTAATTGATTGACTCTTGCAGCAGACAATATTGTCATGCCGGCGGTTAGCGCTTCATCGCTGCATAACTCGTATATTTTGATAAAGTCATTTCTGCTCTCAAAAACTTAGCTCCTTCTGTTTCTTCTAGGCGATAGTGAGATACATATGTCGGTAACCTTTTAATAAGGTTAATCAAGAACTCCTCACATTCAGGAGATGCTCTACTGCAACCGCCATGCACACCACGATTATCTGTCATTCAACTGTTTGAACGCATCTTACAAAGCGACGTATTTATTCGTTTTGCCGACGTCTGTAATGTTATGACAAACATATGTCTACAAACTGATACAACATCTAGACAATATTGGCGTGAGTAAGACTTTTTCTTTAAAACATTGGTTTTATTGTCAGTTACAACGTAATGATGTTTCACATGTTCCTCTTGTATTAAAGCTGTTAAAAACATATTTAGCCTATTATAAGATCCTAGTTAATAAAACTTTTTAAATTGAGCTAATCTATTTTCTACTAAAACATTTTGTGGCTCTTTTTTTATTGCATTCAAAATCTATAAATTTTTTAGGACTGACAACCTTTTTCCTCGATTTGAAATAAGACAAATATGTGTACTTTCGTTTCTTCGTTTCATCCTTTCTTCCTGCGATAGCCTACCATATTTTGGCTTTCTACCTTTTTTGCCTTTCCCATGGGCTGTAGTTTAGTTATTATTGATTCAGTTTCGTGAACAAAAACAGATCCTATGCGGAACCTATCATTATTAGATTTACCATTGTCAGATATAATAGCAGACTAAAACAGAAGCCATCTCATCATCAACTTGTGCAATTTCCTGTTGAACACTTTGAGGTCCTAAACTGTACTGGTTCTGGTTGATGACTTGCGATCTAATTTATTCCATTAGGTATTTGGTAGATTTCTGCATATGCAGTACCAGATATCAAAGAAATTGAATCATTAGAGCAATCATCACTCGAACCATAATCCACATTAGCACAGTATTTAGGATCTCTTACTGAATCATCGCTATCAATAAATAATGGAGCTTCTCCACTTCTCAAGCTTACGATCGTTGACGTATCTGATAAATCTTTAGTGTTCAAATAATTATTATCTGTTGAATCAGCTAAAATATAAAACAAAGACACCGTTTCCGGAGATATAGGAGGAAGCGGTGAAACACTTTTTCCAGCAAACGTTTCGGTAAGTGATTTTGAGGTTAGTAAAACATTATTGGAATTGATATCTGCACATAAAGCTGCAGAAGTTTCATTACTTTTTAGCAATGACTGGACGTGGGATCAGCGGTGAGTATGAAGGTGGTTGGTTCTATGCTATTTTCAAAAGCAGTTTCAATATCATCAATATCATTAGTAGCAAAACAAGTAAAAATTTTTTTATTTCCCTTTACCAAATTAGTAGCGAAAGACAGCGGAGGAGATAGAGGACACTGGGAAGCCTCAGCAGAGATGTAATTGAGCAGACAAATTAGTGTCAGATATATCTCCATCACCCCCTTTGCAAGTCGTTTTATTCATGAGAATTATTAACCACACCGTGCGTACCAAATCTTTTTCGCTTGCGCAGCAAATCTAAAATAATAATCCGCTTTTAATCACAAATTGCTTATTTAAACTTACCTATAGAGCCAATTAAGCTTTTTCTGTTATTTAGATTGTTATTTAATTTATAATTTGAAAATTATGTTTTATTAAAAAAACTCTACTATTAATATATGCGAAAGTACCTTTGTATGTCTGTCAATTACGCTTTCACGCCTAAAACCAAAGAACTGAAATGTAGTAAGGCCCCTTTTCAGTATGACAGAAGAAGTACTAAAGTAACAGCATGCTAAAAAGGCATCCAAAAAGCAAAACATACAGAAATAACATACACAGTACCTGAAGAAACCCCCATTTTCGGAACATTGTTGTAAATGCGCATGTCCCATGAAGGAATTACTGACTCTTTGGAGTCGAATAACTGGTATAAATAACTTTTGCTCGTTCCTTATATTTACAGAATGTAAACATCACAATTTTTAATAAAACAGTTTTTTTATGTACATAAATTAAATTTTCATAAACATGCACGGTTATTTTGCAATAACCAGCCAAATTTGCAGAGAAATTTAATAATGTTGGCTGGTGATTATTAGCGCCATCTATTATGGAATAGCAAAACTACGAGTGCTTTCCAGAAAATTCCTTCCAAGAAATTTCGACATTCTACTCGAATATTCTAGATGTTTTCAGTAGAAAAGGCCCTATATAAAGGCGTTAAGGACCGCGACCGGGGCAGTATTGAATTGGAGATACAAACGAGGACTTAGTAGCGAAATAAAGTGAACTAAAGTATTAGGTGTAATTAATTATTAG